ACTACGTTGACATTTATATTCAAATAAGTTCTCTTAACCTTTTCTATAAATTGAAGTTTTATAGACAACATGTATTAAACCATAGAAAGAAAAAAAAATCCATAGACAAGACGATTATTTCAATTGGTATGATGTTTTTCGATAACTTTTTCCCGTTCAAGAAGGTTGTATATGGATAATGAATGCTGAAATCTATAATTTATGGGTCATTATAAGCGAATCGAGAGATTTTGTTAATAATAAAATGTTATTGTTAGGAGATCTCGGTTACGAGATCGAGTTGAAAAAGAAATATAATATTTGTGTATAAGTTATATTTTCTATTACATATATGTAAAGAACTTGCTAGACAAGTTCTATTTTTGTATAAATAAGTCTATTGGCTAATGAATAAAACTGAGAGAAACTATTCTACTACTAAGATTTCTTCCAAAATCTATCAGTTATACTTTTTTATCTATTAGAAAGACCTCAAAATTTTGGTAAACCCGTGGGAATTTATGATGAGTTCGATGATCAAATAGGAGATGAAAACGCAAATGAACATTAGAATGGAAAAAGGACTTTCTTTTCTTTAAACTCAGTTAAGATCTTTATAAACCTAAAATAAGACAACATTTACCATCTGAGTTAAAGCTTATTATTTGGTATGAGTACACATCTACAACTGCTTGCTGCTAATCAAGGTTCAGCTTGGGTTTCTGCTAAAGCATCTCTTGAACCTGGTCCATAATCCCACTTGATATACTATGCTAATAGGAACCGGATCTTTGAAATCTGCCTTCGTGCTTAGTTCCTCAAAGGCATTCACAACGTTCTGCAACCTCGCAACAAACTCGATGAGAAGGGAAGCAAACGTAGCCAAAGACAAAGAACTTGCACTTTCGTATACTTTACATTCTATTTCATTCACCATAGAACCACCAATGAAAGACACACTTGGCCACGTCTCGCGGTTCCTTAACATCATACTCTCTGTTGATATCCATGTCTGAGATTCATTGCCACTAGCTGGATTCTGATTGTTGCTACTGTTTGTATCCCAGATCTGACTTAGCGATTTTATCACTTTGGTCTCATCGTCTTCTCGAGCTTCTTCTGCTTCAGCTTGCTCTTTAATGGCTGCCCAACTTTCTGAGTTGACAAGAAGGTAAGATTTATTGTCTATTTTCATTTGTAGTTCCTCTGCTGCACGTTGAATGTCCTTTAGAATCTCTCTAGAGTTTAGCTTCTCCATTTTTCCAACTTTTTCTCCGATCAATCGCAGAACCTTTGCTCCTTCATTGCCAACTCTTTCAAGCTCGTGACGGAAAGCCTGTCTTTTCTCTGGAGCTGCCTACCAAATCACAGAGCCTATTAGCTCAACATGTAAGAGGAATATAGAGTTCTCATATCATTCAACCAAATTTACACTAAACATTTACATTCCAAAATTTAGGGGTGGGCAAACAAATAGCAACCGAAAAATCCGAACCAAACCAAGGTAACTAAATCGAAAACCCAAAATGAATTTTTTTATAAACCATTTGATTTCCCTATTTCAAAATTCAAAATGCCAAAGACCAAAACCCTTTTTGTAATCGAATCAAATAAACCGAAATTCATTAAAAATTTATATTTTAAAATTTTAAGTATATATGTGTATTAAAAGTAGAAATACATACTAAATAGTTATAATAAACTAAATAGTTTGCTAACAAAAAAAAAACATATATACTGAAAAACTTATAATGTTAAATATCGAGAATTTGTGTACGTTAATTTAAAAAAAAAACACACACACAAATTGAGATTAAACCGAAAAAACCGACAATCGATAGAATCAAACCAAAATCGAGCTACAAACCGGATTGCTCATTCATATAATGCACATACAATGAAAAATACACCAACTTGTAAGCTTTCAAACATCTTAATGGGTTTCAAGAATTAGTATTATAAGGAACCTGTATCTCTGAAAGAATGCAACCATGCATTGCCATGACCATGAAAGCACAATGCCTTACTGCACCACTAAGTTTGACATAGTTTTTCCAGGGATGGTTAAACGTTTTGTATGGTCCATGTGGAGGTTCCCATGTGGCAAATTCGAGCTGCAAAAAATAGGACTTAATGCTAATATTATCTAAATTCTTGTTATCTAGTTGTCTCTACTACAAACATACCAGAGATTCTTCTTGACTTGTAGATTGAACAGCGGATCTGTACCCGTTGTATAATGGATCATCTGAGGCTTGGTACGTGAGTATCTTCGATGGTACTCTCTCGTATTCGACACATTGCAAGTAACCGTTAACACATCCTAAATAGATATAACAAAATCTGAAAAACCAGTTCAAACCCGAAAAGGAAACTTAAATGCCAAGTAATATTGGCTTACCTTCAAGGGAATTTGCCACACTCTTGAAATTATTAGCTACCAGTTTATGGAGATCTTCACCGGCCCATGTTGGAAATATGAATATATTCAAAACCAAACATATGGTTGCACCAAGCACAATAAACAAAAACCTATAATACGCCGTGCTGAAGAAATCTCCGGTGTTGTTCCCCGAAACCAGAACGATACAGTATGTCAACAAGAACACCCTGAATGCATATTCATACGGCTTCATGGCTGGGTGGAGTTTCAAATAACTAGCACTAAAACCTGATAGACCAAGGCAAAAATAGAAAGTGTTACTATCTATATATATATCTTCAAAACAATGGATGATGACAAGGAAATGCGGCAACCTGAAAGGAAAATGCAGATTATGATAATGATTTTCTCGAAATCCCCTGATAAAACGGAGAGCCTCGCGATGCCAAGAGCAAGCCCTCCTGCAGAGAATGTGCCTATAGCCCTGTTGAATCCTTTGACCAAAGTAGCTCCTGCAAATTAACATGAGCTAAGGAGGTGAATAAGAGTGTCACAAAGGAGAAATTATACCAACAACCAAACGATTCAAATACAAGTCAATAAGTAGTGTTCAAAAATTCGCTAAGTGTTAAGCGGGAGTCAACCCACCTCGTGCCTAAGAAGCCTAATTAGATTTGAGTTTAAACGATCTAGGCGTTTGAGAAATAAAACTATAAACAAAAAAAGATTCTAAACTTGAACTACATTTAAACATTTCCAAAAAATTAGAAATATTAAAACTAAAACCATTAATAGAATATATCAT